CAAGTAGGCTAGACTGCTGTGTGGATAAACGAATGCACATGCGCACACACACACACACACAGACCAACTGACATACGAGCGCACGCACACAGACACACGAATAGTTTGGGCACAGAGTAGTGAAGTACGCAGAAGCCGAACACTCATCTATGCACATGTACATGTGTAGAAGGCTGGCTCTGACTTGAGCCAAGTATTGGTTATGGCTTTGCTGCGAAGTGCTCGGATATTGGCAAGAGAGGCTTCCTTGACAGATGTTGTGGTCTCCCCATCAGTCAAAGCGGGTGTGCTGCAATGAGGCAATTCAGGGGCTGATGTTTGCCGACGCCTTTGAGTAGGGCGTGTCGAGAAGCTTCGTTGTCGCAGCACTGGACGTAGAACTTGTCGAGCCATGGCTCGAAGACCAGTGGAGCCAAAATGGCGACCCAAGCTTCGAGGAGGTAAATGAAAGCCTGGTCGGAGGAAAATTGTCGTACGAGTAGTGAGGGGAGACGACCCTGGAAGTAAGCTGCCATTTGCACATCACCGTGGTGGAAGCAAACTGCAGCCCATCCGTTCTCGATGTCGGATGTCGACTTCGAGTCCCAATTCGGGATGTCGTCGTCCCCCGGCCTGTAGGTGTGGTCGCCCAGGCGGAAGTAGGCATCCGTGTAGATGACACTGTATGTAGTTCGAGTCATCTGTCGTGGTATCGTCATCGGGCGACAATGTTGTATGATGTCCTTGAGTGAAAGTAGTGACGATCGGGTAGGTTTGTCGAGAGCGTGTGAGTACGAATGGGCGCGGGCATATAATGCTTTCAGGGCCGCGCGGCCTACCTTACCGAAGAGTCGGCCTGTGAGGAAGTTGCACTTCCCAGCCATTTTCCTGGCTTGTTCGGGTGACAATGACGAGGTCTCCAGGTGCACGTCGATCTGCTTACACATGTTCTCGACGCGTTTGGGACACGGAGTCAACACCAAGTTGTCGTTGTCGGAGGAGATGATGACACCTTGGATCCGATGTGCGGTTTGAGGTGGTTGTCTCTTGCTGGGTTTCATCGAGATTTGGAGACAACCATTGTACTCCTCGAAGGATTCACAGCTGCCCTCGGCAAGATCGGAGTCTTCCATGGATCCATAGTCGTCGACGTAGTGCATCGCCGGTGACAGGATCATTGTGCGACTGCACGCGACCAGAATGTCCCCAAAACAGTTATACGACCAGACAGTGGCTGCCGAACCAAAGAGCAGGACGTTGTGGCTCCACAGTGTCGGGCCGTCTGGTGTGAGTAGCATCACGTATGCTTCGCGAGGATCTCGTAGTGGAAGTTGTCGATAAGCTCCATCGTGGTCATGTCCCCAGACTGAGAGGGGTTTAAGTCGATCCTGTCGGATTGTCGCGAGTCGTCGTGCATCGTGCACGTCGCGTTGTGTCCGCTTCGACGCCAATCTTCTCCTCGTCGAACTTTGTTGTTGCCGTCGCTGCCCGTCTGTTCGATGCTGAAAGCCATGGCAATGTACGGGTCGGAGTGAGGCAATGGTAATAATTTTCGGTGTCGTCCCTTGGTCGGGACGATCGCCGTCCGGGGCCACCAATCCGGTGCCTCGAACGGTCCATTCATTCGTCCGAGGTCGACCTCCGCTAAGATTTCGTCGAGCATGAGTTCCCAGTGATCGTCAACGGAGTTTTTGTCGATCTTCTCTTTGATGTACTGTCGATTGTTCTCGCGAAACTCTTCAATGGGAATGGGCTCGAGGTATTTCTTGTCTTGTCGCACGTGCCAGTTGATGCCTGGAGTCAACTTCCCCATAAGGGGGAAGCCTTCGGAGAGCTCGCGGTAGATCAGCTCGGTCTGTGGGTATTGTATCATTCGAAGAAGGTGGACGAGGACAGGTATTTGTGTTACCGAGTTCTTGTGACGATATGCTCGTTGTACATGTTCTGGAAGAGTGTTGAACCAGGCCATCGTGTGTTCTTCCATGTCTTCGACGAGTTCACGAATGTCGGCGATGACGGCCTTCTGGAAATCCAGGAGTGGGTGGAAAATATGTCGGTGTTGTAGACACCACTCAAGTGTGGGATCGAGTCTCTTGGGTGATAAGTGTGTGTCTCTGTGTAGTGCCCATTCGAGGTGATCCGTCCAGGAGAACTGTGGCATGTAGTCGTGATTCGGTGTTCGGGGTGGTGGACCAAAGGGTACCTTAGACTGCAACCAAAAGGAGGTGATCTGTTGTAATGGGGACACTCGAGGTGTCTCCGGGATGGATGCATCGACAGTCCCCAGTAGGAGCAGGAAGATGATCCAAATCGCCGTAGGCAGGTGCCACGCGTTGCCCAGAGCAGTGCAACGTTTTGTCTCATCGCCATTTCCGAGTGTCGCCGTATAGTCCAGTGGTAAGCCTTGTAGTTGTTCGCGCAAAGATGAAGGAGCCGTCGTCCATGATCCGTCCTGCAAAGTGACGATGAATTGTTCTTCATACTGCCAAACCGGGTAACGTCGCTGATCTTGTTCCCATCGATTCCATGCGTCTTGTGAAGTCGTGCGGTCTCGGAGTTGTCTCGGAGGTTCTCGTCCGAACGTCGACGTGGATGGTGTGGTCAGGCAGTGAAACAGTTTCTTGTCGTTGTGTAGACACGGTGGTAAGGAAAAACCTTTTGCGGAAATCTGGGGTTGTAAGTCGGTGCCAATCGGGTTGTGTAGTCGATGCCATTCTCCATCTATTTGCCATTCGAGGGACCAGGGTGTGAGCCGAGGTAGTCTCTCTTCGACGATGTCCCATGGGATCGATGTCCACCACAGTCTCTTGCGGTGCATAACTCCGGAGTCTGCGGCGTCGATGATGATCGGGTCCATGCTCATCGGAGATGTGAGTTCCACGACGTTGTCTCGTACATCGGGGTGGGGTACCACATTCTCGAAGATCGTCTCGATCGGGACGCCCGTGAATCGTTGTCGAATTTGATGTTCGATGCTGACCATGTGTCTGAACAGCCATCCTGAGGTGCCGTCGGATCCTTTGGGTTGGCTTCGTAGGCCGGAGAAATCCGGGCACGGAGGACCTGCCGTGATCACCATGATGTACTTTCGGTTGTTCGTTGCATTCTCGATGTGTCTTGCGACAATCTCGATGTCGAACTGTCCGACGTCTCCCAGGTGTTCTGCTAAGGAAAACCGTTACCCTAGACAAAATCCTAAACCCTAAACCCGAGAACGGAAAATGAATGCAATCCGAACTCGGTCCACTCATTTTCGATGGGATCGCAAAGATCGGCTGTGCAAGCATACAAACGGGTTGACCCGAGGATGGGGCCAATGGCGGGCCCAGCAGGGAGCACCGAACGACATGGTGCGGCAGCTGCGCGCTGCCGTGTGCAGCATTAGAAGAAGCAATGGTAATGTGAAGGCAGCAGCCTGCGCGAGCACATTGCCCGTGGCAGGATGCCAGAGGCGAAGCACAAAGTGAGAGTGAAGGTGCAAGGAAGGATAGCACGTTCGGTAAAGGCCGGGCCTAGCGAGGCCGGCGTGCACGCAAGCGAAACCAGGGCGGGTCGGGTGGGAAATCAAAATTGCGAAGCGACTTCGCTGCAACTTGATCCAAAGCGGAGTGCGGATGCACAGAGCTTCACGACATGTACCGAGACAAGAAGATGCAGGCACTGGCAAAAGCGAATAAAGGAAAACTTTCCAGTTTTACCAAAAGAAAGGAAACCGTTTTTCCATTTGCAAAACACCAGTGGACAAGTCCACCAGTACGTTCTGCTAAGGAAAACCGTTACCCTAGACAAAATCCTAAACCCTAAACCCGAGAACGGAAAATGAATGCAATCCGAACTCGGTCCACTCATTTTCGATGGGATCGCAAAGATCGGCTGTGCAAGCATACAAACGGGTTGACCCGAGGATGCCTTCTGTGGGGTGGCGACTGTTGCACCAAGGTAGTTTGCCACCCCACAGCACGCTCAAGAAAGCCAAGGAAGTGTGGGCTGAAAGGGGTGGTAGATTTCAGCGAAGCCAAGGAAGGGTGAAGCTGGAAGGGAAAATCTGCACCTCAGGACAAGGCTCCCAGAGAGCAGAGAGCCCAAAGCGAATGCGCTGGCATGGAAGGCAGTCTGGAGGTGTGGGGAACTCAGCCGGCCGGCTAAGTGCGTCGGCTTTGCAGTTCTTGGCACCTGGGACATGAGACACATCGATAGAGATGCGATGCATGGCCGCCAGGAGGGCGATGTGTTCAAGAACGAGGCCTAGGGGAAATTTGGTGGAAAACATCTTATTCAGACCTGCCTCCGCCCCTGAGTTATCGCGAGGCGTAAAGGAACCCTGCTGCAAGGAGCCAGCCTAGAGAGAGCAAGAATCAGCCCCGCCTGAGCCAGGGCTTCACAACTGGCGATCTCCTTAGCCAGGTCATTGCCGAAAGGAATGCCTGCGGCTTCAAATTCCTGGACTGAAAAGGTTTCAGTGAACCAAACCTGGCCTAGAACCGGACAAGAAACAAAACCCCCCAAAGGCCTCAACGTCTGCAACCTGAGATGGGCGCATGCTGGCGAGTGGTGCCACGTGTTGCAACCAACGCTCGAAGGCCTGCAACGAGCGGATGGAGGCACTGGAGAGTTTCCGCCTCGAGCTGCTAAGGCATTCCACGCGGAGCCACAATCTTTTGTGCGTCACGGCGACTTTGGACAAGTCTGCAAGGGTTGTGAAAGGCACATGACGAGCCGAGAGGAGCTTAGCACCCGCGGGGATGGCAGTGTGAGGAGGTGAGGCCTTAAACCTGAGTGAAGAATCAAGGAAATTACAGATGCTATGCCACGATTCCGGAGCAATGCTGAAATTAGTGGCAGCCGGAGACCAAAGGTCTTTGTAGAAAGGGTGCATCATGGCACGCATAGTGGGGAAGAGTGCACAGGCCCACATGGCAAGGCCCAGAAAGGATTCCAGTTCCTTGGTAGAGATACGGCCCCCGCCCCTCAGAAGGGAACGCACTTGTTCAAGGAGGCGCAAGCGTTTTTCTTCCCTGAGACTAACCGTACCCGAAGAGAAGCACAACCGCCATCCAATCCAATCGACCCGACAAGAAATTTGTAATTTTTTCCAACTGACTGGAACACCCAGGATCTGAAGAAAGAGGCATATCACAGCTCCCGAAAGCGGCATGAGGCTGGCCGCTTGGCTGAAAATGAAGTCGTCCACGAAAAGGAGGCCCACATGGGCCAGGAACAGCAGGGTATGTAACAGGCGCAAAGTGCACCCTCCCACGCGACCCCACCAATGCTGTGAGAAAACTGCTCCGAATGGGCAGCAGCGAAAAAAGTATAGCGCGTTGTGCCAAGTGAAGCCGAGCAGGCCCTGCTCGGAGTCGCGGATGCGGCAGCGCTTGTGCGCCTGCTTGACATCAATGCAAATGGCCATCTGGCGATCGGAAGTCTCGCGAATCGGGAAAGAATGCGAAACATCGTGTATGCTCGGGAAACATTGACGTTCCGGCACTGTGCACTGAGAATTGGTCCCAGCTACGCTGTTGTCCAACACGAGTCGTTCGGCCCTCCCCGGAGCCCTAACAACCCCCAATTTTCCCAGTGCTAGGCCAACGGGCCATCTACTTTTCGCCTCCTCAAGTGTGCCTTCAAACTTAAAGCAGTATCCCGCGTCCAACTCCTCTTGGAGCAAGCGCGAAGTGACCTCAGGAGCCACATCGGCCGACTTCCAGTTTTCAAGATTGAGCGCCAATGGAATCAGCTCCCCTGATTGGCCTTTGGGAGGCCAGAAACAGTTGGAAGGGGGGATGTCATTCAAGTACCCGGTTGGCACACCCATACGCAAATGCGGAAACAAATGAATGTCCTGATCGCCACAATGTTGTGCCAGGGCTTCAAACGCGTGCAAGCACATGGGTTGGTATGGATGCACATACCAAGCGTTATCCGGGGTCTGCATACCCAGCGAAGGAAACACCAGATCCCTGGCTGCGGACACTTCGGAAGAGCTGAAAAGCGGTTCATTCGACGGGCAGGAACCGCGAGCAAGCAAGCGTTTGTCGGCTCGAGCTGAGATGCAGAATTGCAGCAGGGCTTTGCGTAATCCCCGAAATGCATCATGGCTTGCAGGGCTGCTCCAATCGGCAATGGAGCGTTTCCCAGCTCCATCATGAAGTGCATGTGGGCCTGCGAAAAGGCCTTTGCGTGGGATAGACTTGATGACTGACTGCAGGGAGAGCTCGCGGCCCTCTGCCGGGAGCAGAGGGGCAGCGATCGTGGCAAACGAAGATGCAAATTCACTTGCGCATTGCGGGGGAGCGAAGGCGGGCGAGCTGACCGCCAGGGCGGAAAGCGGGCGGTAAGAAGCAGCCAAAAGCTGGGGCTGGCACGGAATAGCTGAGTCTGAGTACAGTAATGGGGGTATCAAGATCAGAGCACAGTTTCCCTGATGCAGCCAGGCCTAGGGCCGCTCAGACGACCAGTAAGAAGAAGTGGGGGGCAATTCCAAATGCCCTTGACCCCCTGCAGTGTGTACAATGCTGAGGAGCCAGGTGCAACGGGAAACCTTTGCCGCCGCCGTTTGCTCGTGCATTGCCGATAGCAGCCACGAGGAGGAACCCACGTCGTCAGGCGAGTCTGCTGACTCGGCTAGTGGCGATGCTGCAAGATACGCGACCGCTCCCGAGCCGCAAAGGAAGAGGACCTGCTCGAGGAGGTCTGGGCAAAGGACATCCAGGGTCGGGTCAAGGCTGGGGCTTAGGGTGAGGGAGTTTCCACCTGAAGCACGGACAGCCATGCTAAGTTGATGGCGCGAGTGATTGCTCCATGTGATCTCGAGAAAAAGACGCGCCGGGAGGGAAGAAATGCAAGTATCAGCTCGCCAAGCGCCCTCCGGTGGTGACAAGGGGCGTGCAACCCTAAGCTTGTGGGAGAGAAACAAACCTGACGTGGAGCGTTTTCCCCACAGTTTGCATCCCAGTGGCAGCTTAGACGATGCCGAATTGGAATGGGCTGTATGTTCCCTGCACGACTGAGGTTCGTGCTGCTTAGTAGTCGAGACGGCCTCCGGTACTCCGGGCATTGGATGTGCTGAAGGGGGATGTTGCGCAGGAGGAACATCTGCGGACGCTTCGGAGGCTGACCCAGGGTTGCCACTGGATGGAAACTCCTCCTGAATGTGCGTCCCTGCTAGTAAGTGCGATGAAGTGATGTCTGCTTCCTCGAGCCCCGCGGGCGAGGTGGGGGAGGTTGAGGGACTAGGGGCAGGACTAGAACCCAAGAGGGGAGACGGCAGTGGGAAACCCAGAAACTCAAGTTCGGCACAACACACGTCAGGCAGGGAAAAGGCTGTGAGGGCCCAACGCTCTCCTGAGAAAGGAAGTGTCATGTGTCTAATGCGGCCATCGAAGCTAATCAGCTAATGGCTTTGCGATGTGTGTTGATAGCACAGCCATGCAGCCAGCCCGAGCCAGATGCAACTGATGTCGGCTGGCCTTGCGAGAGGCAGGAGAGGTCCTCAATCCACAGATGGCCACCCGAGAAGGCGCCCAGCGAGAGTGACAAATTGCGTGAGCCAGGAATGTTCGCTGAGTCGGAATGCAGCGCACTGAGGCCATTGCGCGAGACACACAAAGCGTTCCAGTGCTCGTTTGGAAAGAGGAACCTGAAGAGGGCATTCAGGTCCCTGCAAAGCTCAGGCAGGGCGATGGTGACCTGAGTAAGTGAAGAACGCCTAGAAAGCTGAACCCCAAAATTAAAATAGCCTGAAGCAGAAGAGGCACCGGAAATGATGTGAGCACGGCGAACCTGTTTGGGCCAAGGGGCTTCCCGCAATGAGCACAAAATGCAATCGAAGAGGCCTGCCAAGGCCGGCCCACAGAAATTGGAAAATTCAAGTGCGTGACCCAAAGGGGCGGTACCGCTGGCGGGCGGAATCGGCGCAATGGGAGTGCTTGAAGTGCATGTGGAGGGGGAAACGTCCCCCGAAGGCACTGAACCAGTATGATGCACGGAGGGTACGGCCTCCTGAGGCGGTGACACAGAAACTGTACAATCTGCAGAGAGGGGTTGTGGCGGCAGTGGCGGAAAGCTGAAGTCCAAAACTTGCGAGCCCCGGGGGGCTTGCTGTTGCGATGGTGGAATCGGCGGTGGCAGTGGCGGGGGAGCAGGCAGCTCCCCCCAGCTGTGGATGGACCCGGCAACACCTTTGGGTGACGAGTCGGGCGCATGATGTCACTTCTCAGGGTGCTGAGGCGCACCGTGGTCCTTGCTAAGGCAGGGTGAACCATCGGGCTTAGGGAAGGCGCAGCCGTGCGTGAACTCGCAGGAGTTGCCACGCTGGCATTTCCCGATCTGCCACCCAATGCACAATTTTTTCACCTGGCCGCCCTCCTTGTACTCGCGAACCCACGGAACACCCCTAGGCTGGGTGCCTTGCTTGGTGGGGCTCTTGGCTTTCCCCTTGCCCTTCCCAGTGCCACGACCTGGCGGTGGGGTGGGCGGGCGGTTGTCACGGCCGCCCGGTGTATACGGCCTACGATTGCCTGCCGAGGCAGCTTTGGCGCGGGGCTGCAGCCATGACGACATATCGCCGCGGATCTCCGTGAACTCGTAGATCGCATCATTCACCTGCCACTCTTTCTCGATCACAAGCTGAAAGATGCACGACCACAAGTGTTTGTCCGCCTGCTGAGCTTCCAGCACAGAGGGGGGCCGAAGGTTTGTTTCAGGCGGGAATTTTTGCGAAACCAGGCTCAAAAACTTAGAGGTGTAAGCTTTGAGGCGCGCAAGATGCGCGGTGCCTGCAAGAGCGAGGGCATTGTCATGCACCTCCAACAGCCTACGGATCATTGAAATCCCCATGGTGGAATCATTGATATCAATCTGTGGCGGTTCATCGAGCAACAGGTCCGAAAGCTGAAGGGTCTCAATCCTGGCCCTTTTTGCCGGCTTCTGCATGAGGGAATCCTCATACATCTGTTGTGTCATGCGACTCTTCCACGGGATCCAAGACCAGTTCTTCTTAACCTCGGCGTCGACAGCAGTGCTCAAGAGGCGGAGCGAGGGGGTATTCATAGCCGTCAAGATTTCGGATGGGAAGGCTTCCAAGAAACGTTTTTTGAGCGTGGCCACCCGCGATGCATCAAGCTTGGGGGCGAAGGCTTCCGACCATCCCGAGCCTTGCTTGGCCGGGGATCCCAGCGGTTCTGCAGGAGCAGGCTCGTTACTACCGCGTCGCTGCAGCGACGACCATACGGCTCGCAGCTTGGCACGCTGCATCAAGGACACTTCAGTGTCCGGGAACATCTCAGGGAGGACCCCCGCAAGCTCAGATTCCTGGCAGACAACATGGCGAAAAGATTTCGCATCCCAACCGTCGGCGAGCAGCCGATCCGTGAGCTCCTGGCTGATGCCGTGATCCTGAAGGAGCTGATTGAAGCTTGAGGCTCCCTCTGCTTTAAGCGGGCACGGTGAAGGATTCACCAGATTGAATGATCCATCCGCGGATTTAGCATCGAACAATTCATCTGCCATGGTGCGAGAGCAGCGGTCGGCAAAAACTACCGTTCGGGCCTGAAGCGGCTGATCGAGGGCAGACCCGTGTCCTGGCAGGCTCAATGCAAAGAAAATGGAATGCATGAAGAAAACATGTGCAAGCAGAATGCGAGCGCATACCGATACAAGACAAAGGCAGCAACCTGCACTTTTACTAAGCTTCCAGAGCAGCGAATGCATTGACACAGGCATTTCGCCTGCAGAGAACATGTTTGGAACTAAGAGAGTGGACCGACTGCCAACGTGGGCCCGACATACCGATGCCACAAAGTGTCCTCTCACCTGACGGGCATGCTGCGTGCACAACGCCTGTTGCGGCGACCATGTGCACCTCATCTGGGGGGCCGAGCGACGCGGGCCCTGCCTCGGACTCAAGACTTGACTCAGACCCAGCCTCCGATGCGGAGTCGGGCAAGGAGGGCTCGGCAGCCTTGGTGCTGGCCTCTGCAGCAGGTGTTTCCGCAGCACATGCCGAAGATTGACCGGGAACCCAGGGCAGCGACCCGGGGACACCAACATCGAAGGAGAAGAAACCCCACGGTGCAGGATCGATCTCTTTGCTGAAGGCTTCCAAAGTAAAAGGGATCGGTGCCATAGGGAGCTGTGCTCCACGGTGCAATGGCGTCCTTGGGCGAAAATCCGCCAAGACAGCAGACCTCAATTGTGTCTGAGCGCGGAGCGCCCCTAGCACATCATCTCTGCTGTAGAGTTCCCTGCTACTCCCCCTATGATGTCCTTGTGCGTCCCTGTCTGGGCCGCGGATGTCCGGCACCTCAAGCATATAACTTAAGAGGCTACACTTCATGGAGTGCACCGTATAGTTAGATACGGGCACCTCGGGTGGAGACACCATCCAAGGAAACTGCAAGTAATAGCGCAACCAGCGCAAGCATGAAGGGTAACTCATCGGCTCCAGGGGCCGGAGCAACTCGGCGTCATCGTCCAGTGCCGGAAACAGAAAGCTAGGAGCCACCCCAAAGTCGCGCACCTCCTGCGAAGCGATGGAATCAAGAACCCGGAGCCACCTAGCCACCCAGGAGTGTGTGCCATGATGCAAGAAGCCTTGAGTGATTAGGCCGAATGGTTGGCCCTGATGCGAAGTTTTCGTCTGGTATGCAATGGCCCGAAGCGAAACCACGTCGAAAGCAAATGAGCTCCATTCGATGCGCTGGCTGTCAGCGAAGCGAAGACTCGCCCAACATGTGACCAAAAAAGCACCGAGCAGTACTATGTCCCGCACTGGGGTGGAGCGCTGGAGGATGCGCCGTTCCCACTGCACAAGAGCATACAGCGGCAGGGGTAGGCTCTCCCTGCGGTCCTTAGGCAATTTGGTCTTCAAGAAGGATGAAATCAGCTCGCCATAGAAAACCTCAAACACAATGCACTGGGTGTTCTTGCAAACCCACCGTACGGCCTTGATGCAAGTGATTGCCGACGATCCAACAGTCGGATCCTCCTGTCTTTGAAGCTGCAAAGTGACCAAGATGTCGGCCGCTTGCACTGCAGTAATCTCAAGAAGACACACATCCAAGTCCTCACAAGCTTTAGCAAAGGAGTTAAAGGTAGTGATGTACCTGATGACCGTCGTTGCGGCAAAACCTGCAAGTACACGGCGCACGTGTGCATCGAAATCACTGCTGATTGGATGGCGGAGAAAAAGCTAGATTCAGACCCCAAGAAAGCAAGAAGCTGCAGCATGAGGTTCACAGCAATCTGAGAGCAGGCCGCTGAGTGTGCACGAATGGCCTGCATCCCGCGACCATCCTGCTTGCTGGCACGCGGGCGCTTGTTCGATACCGACACCACCATTCCTTGCGGATTGGGCAATGGAGGTGCAGCCTGAAGCTCAGGCAAGGCTTGAAACGGCGGTGTGAAAGGGGCTGCGCGGGCCGGCAGTGCCGGGGGCCTCAAATGCACGTGCCGATTCACAGGTGGGCAGGGAATGCCCGACTCGGGGAGGGGCGGTGCGGACCTAAACCGAAGATACCCGAAGGAGGGAGGGGGACTAGGCCTAGAGCCAACCCCAGGCAGTCTACGATCAGCATATGGGCCACCACGTGGCCCGCCCAAGCGAGACCTGTCATCAGGGTCAGTGGGCCTGGAGGACATCTCGCCAGCAAAGCCCCTTAATCCAGAAAGCTCGACCCGTCCGGGCAGCACGGCCCGTCAGTGCAGTCCGGTTCACCTTCAAGCCGAGTAAGGCGCTGTTGCAAAATCACAAACTGGTTCTGCAGCCTAAATTGATTCTCAAGCAGAAGGTCAGCACGCTCGTGCAGAGCAGTCAAAGCTTCAAGGGTGTCGTCCCTGAAAGATTGCAGTGCTTCGATGAAGTCAGATCTCGCACTATCGACGTCCTTTTTGGCTTCCACAGAGGCACCACGAACCAAGCTGAGCAGCGAGCACTCAAAGTACTGACGGAACTCTTCAAGCTCAGCACGGGACACCATACAAGAATGACAGATCACTCAAGAGGCAAGAGGTGCCTGCCATGCACCCCCCCTTGTAGGGGGCGATCGCGCTACCCAGGCCACGAGGAGCTAGAAGCCTTGGAGTTAGCCCCCGGAGCCTGCTAGACAGCACTACAGGACTCTAGAGAGGCCCAAAATCAAAATTGCGAAGCGACTTCGCTGCAACTTGATCCAAAGCGGAGTGCGGATGCACAGAGCTTCACGACATGTACCGAGACAAGAAGATGCAGGCACTGGCAAAAGCGAATAAAGGAAAACTTTCCAGTTTTACCAAAAGAAAGGAAACCGTTTTTCCATTTGCAAAACACCAGTGGACAAGTCCACCAGTACGTACGGATTGGAATACTTTCGATGTGAAACTAGCACAATCGGCGTCGATCTCCCACGCCAGGGTGAGGATGACGTTCTCGTTGATGCGTCGGAGTGCTTCGGAGGCGATCCCGATACCATCGAAGAAGGACAGGTGAACTACCGGCAAGGCGCCCACCAGCTCATGGCAAAGTGTGCAAATCCTGTCGTGTGGGTCTGTCATTCGATGGTCGGCTCCAGAGCCCATGGACTCTGGGCCGTGCTGTCCCTATTTCTTCCCAGACTTGCCGGCTTTGCGTTTCTTGCCGGCGCCTTTCGTGCCTTTCTCTCCCTTCGTGTTCCAGGGGGGTCGTTGTGATACTTGTGGAGCAGGGTTGAAGGGAATGGTCGGGGCGGGTGTCGGTGTATTAAAGGTGGATGGTGTTGATGGGGTCCAGGAAGGCATCGATGTGGTCGGCCAGGTCGGAAGAGAAGGGGGGCTCCATGGTTGTGTCGTCGGTTGCCAGGATCGCCACTGGGTCGTCGTAGTGTTCCAGGATTGTCGGTATCGACGTCCTTGTCCAGGCGGGGACCATTTCTGTTGGTATCCTTTGCCCTTGCCTTTGTAGGGTTGTTCGGAGCCTTTGCCGACTCGTGGTCGCTTGGATAATGGTTGTTGCATCAGTTCACTCGTGTCAAATCGTTCATGAGGTCTTCGGTGATCATCTGGAAGGTATCGTTGGATCGCATCCGCATGGCGATATCCCAGGAGAACTCCTCCCAAAGGCTCTTGACGTTGTTGATGCGTTGTGAATGTTTGCGGACCAGTCGGATGAACCAGTCGACGTACTTATTGATAATCGTCTCGGAGGAATACTTGATGAGTATCCAGGCCCATCGGATTGCTTCGATGGCATCGATGAGCATCCACTGTCCCCTCACGTCCCACTCTTCGTTGGCCTTCTCGGTGATGTTATTGCGTTCATCGAGGACCAATTTCTTTTCGTTGGTGTCCTTCTTCCTAGTGGAGTTGATCGTATTGAAGCTCGTCCAAATTCGTTGTGACACGATCTCCCCCAAGGCCGTTGCGGTGTACATCTTGGAGTTGTGGTGTTCGTGCCACATTCGTGCAAGGACCTTCTCTGCTCCCACGAGGTTCTTCTCCGGGAATTGTCGGCGTTCTCCATCGACAGTAATGCTGTTATAGTCCTCGACGAGTTTGTTGTAGACACCCGTGGGTAGCGTCTTCGGGACGATGTCCTTGTCGGTGTGTGATGGAGCAGTAGCAGTCGGGGCAGTCGGTGCGCTCGAAGGTGATGAGGTTGTCATCGTGGAATGGTAGGCATGTCGGGCTGCTTGGGTGAGCACCATCCACTGGGCGGTGAGGGCGTCCTCGTCAGTGTCGTCGGCCAATTTGAATTCGACGCCCCCTGCCGTAGCTCCTGTCTGAAGCTTCTTGACCACATCGGCGATGCTCGCGTCGTCCTTGAGGTAAGTGCTGATAGTCGCGTGTGACTTGAGGCCAAGCTTAGCGAGGTACCTAGCGACTACGTCCGTGGCAAGGTCAATCCCTGCCAAGTCTGCGGCGGCCGCGAGTGGGCTGCTCATGTTGTCGTAGGAATCGGGCTTGGACAAAATTGCTCTGGTACAAGTAAGTGCATCGTGGGATACATTCGAGTGTCAAGAGGCTGAGAACTTGTACTTTATCGAAGCAATCTGTCGGAGTGACCTAAGCGAAGATCTACCGCTGACACATCGCCGGGGCGGAAGTCAGTCGGGGTTTAGTCTTCGTCTTCGTCGGGCTGTGCATCAGCGAAGGCTTGTGCTTCGCGTAACCTAAAGCAACGTTTACACTTCGGGCCTACGGGCTCGCGATACTCGCGGCGATGTGGTGCAAAACCGTATGGCCATCCACAGATCGTGTGCCAATGTGTGTTGTCGCAAGAAGATTCGGAGACTCCTGGGAGATGAATAACTTTGGTTAAAGAGTTTACTACCCAAAATTTGGTCCTGAGTGTCTCGAGATACTGTGCCACCATCTCGCGGACCTGTTCGGGTTTGGTCGGGGTCTCAGGTCTATGAAATTCGTCTCCTCGATGTAGTGGGGACTCCTGGACGTACACCTTGATGGCGTCGCTGCCCCATCGGCCGATGAGCTGCACGGTGTCCAGAGGAAAGCCTCGTCGAGTAAGCATTTGAGACCCAGAAACTCGACAGACATGC